ATATAATAATGCCAATCATCTTTGTTGTTCCCCTCTCTGCATCTTTTTCAGGACAATCTCCTTTCTTTGTTAGTGTGACCAGTGTTCCAAATGGGGTCCAATAAGTGCTGGGGTGGTGGATTAATTCTATCTCCTTAATATACTCTTTAATTAAACTTTGCAGTGAACTGAAGGCTTCAGTGACTTTCTTTTGTTAACTTAGACCTTTTTCTTGATTAGGATGGCATGTAGCTGTTACACTGGGTCTTGGCTGCAAGACTTCCTAACTTAAATTTTTCTGAACTGCAATGAATTTGCCGTTTGCTGGCCCAGTCACCTGAACAATCTAAATTCTTTTGGATCAGACTTGCATCTTTGATAGAGTTTGGGTTCAGGTCCACAAAAGGGACTTGGGCCCCTGGAAAATCACCGGAATACCACTGTGATCCACAAAGCCATGTTAGGTGCCTATGCTCCTATACAAGGAATAGCGAGAGATAGGCACCTTCGAATGAAATCCACAAAGCCAGCACGCTGGGCGGGGAACTACCTAAGGTAGCCAAAGGAAGATATTGATGATAGGGGTGTGTCCTAAACCCTGCTCCTCTCACAGAGATAGGTGTCTATCTCTGCCTGTGATCCATGAACTGGAGGAAGATAGGTGCTCCTCTGCCTAAGTCATGTGTGGGGCCTGATCTGATAACCATGCTCACTGGCTACCTAACTATACAAAACAGCTGGCCGGGGGAGGACCTTCCTTATGAGCTTCAGCCTAAGAGTTAGAGGATTCTCTCAGGATGTGGGAGACCACTGGTTCAAATTGCCCCTTTGCTTGATCAGAAGGGATTTGAACAGGGATCTGCCAACTCTCAGGGGAATGCCCTAGCCACTGGGTTATAGAGTCATTCTCACTCACTCTGGCCCAATTAATACTTAGTTACACAATTAATAGGAGAATTAGGGGACCCTACATTGGAATATTCCATAGTGCAGTGATTCAGCCACTCAACTGAGAGTTGGGGGGAGGTCCCTGTTCAAATCTCTTCTCCTCAAGCAGAGGGAGAACTAGAAAGTGGTCTCCCACATCCTGAGTGAGTGCTGTAACCACTGAGCTAAAGGTGACAAGGGAGGTACTCCCCACGCCATTTTGTTTGGAGCTGGGCAGCTTCTGAGTATGCCTACCGGATTAGGCCCCACACATGTCTTAGGCAAAGAAGCTCCTATCTTTCTTCTGCGATCCTTGTGCATCACTCTGGAGCTTAGACTGCCGTTGGTGCCTGGACATCTAGAGCAAGGCAGAAGTGTGCATGTCCAGAGGCAGAAACGGACACCTAGGGAACTTCTATTGCAAAAACAGGTGCCAAGTGAGTTTCCGCGCCTACAGGGTTGAACGTAACCAAGCGAGGGTTTTGTGGATCACAGTGGTGCCTAAAAATGGGGATTAGGCGCCTAAGTATCATTGTGGATCTGGGCCTTGGTTCCTATGTTACACCACCAGTTCTTTTGTAGTCTGCAATTTCCCACCAAATAATACAGATATCTCCACCCTACTCTCCCTCCAGGGACCAACCTTTTCCTTAACTCACTCTTTCTATTACAGTAATCTGCATTTCTTTCATTTACCCTATTTTTACCTGTGTTCAATTATGCCTTGCACCACAGAGTAATTGCAGAGTAATTAGCATATTTAATCAGCCACAATTGACATCTAATTACAATTAAACTTAATTATTCCAGTTGGGTATACACATCATTATTAGACTTTGCAAAGGTTAACCCTGAGCAGCCCAGATATTTTTATTATTGCTCACTTTCTCCAGGAACTACCCATATTCATTTTCACTTATCAACCAACAACCACCTTTTTGGTCTTCTTCACGGCCTCTAGGGTTAACTTCTTATGGAATTCATAAGGTGCCCAATGATACCGCTAAGCACAGTCCTACGGCCGCTGTGCTCCTTCTAATCCACCCGCCCCACAGCAGGCCTTGTCTGGACACGCCAGTCATACAACAAAATAATATTTTATGCTTATGTAAAACCTTTCAGCTGAAGTGTTTTGCAAACGATCTCTACCAATATGCCTGGATGACAGGTAGATGCAACTATTTGCACATGAAAAGTCTAGACAAGTTGGGAAGAGCAGTATATCCTCTAGCAAGTGGTTACCTATAAAAACCAGGCAAAAAATGTTAAAAACCACAACCATTGATCTCCCCTCTCCCTTTTAATGATTCGTATCTATGAGCTTTGAATTGGAGGGATTAGCAGCTAGCCCTATTGATTTGACAGCCAGCCCTTTTCTAACATGGCTGCAATTGATAGCATACAAACTAGTCTGGTAGTTAGAGTGTGAAGGCATGAGTTTTGGCTTCTAGTCTCCCTTCTGAAACTGATGTGTTGTGTGACTTGGGTCAGTCATGTTGCTTCTCCGTCTGTTACCTTTTATGAAAAACAACGAAATATTTAATATTTTATTTGCTTTAAAGCAGTGGTAAGTATCTTTATTTTCAGAAAAAAACAAAATGAAATGAAATGTTGTTATATATTCCCTTCTAATCTGCTTTGTGTTGGCAGGTTTACTATGTAAAAAAATCTATTTTACTGATAAAGTAGAGGATTTTAGCTTTACCTTCTGAAGTATGCTTTATCTACTTAAACTGCACAGATTCTGGGTAATGTCACTGAAATCTAGATCTGGTGTTTTGGCCACGAAAGCGCTCTCCTTTTTCAATCAATGTAATAGACATCCTTTGAGAATGCAATGTCACTTGAGTTGTCCTGACTTTGGCCAATTCTGTTGCTTGAGGTGAGCACAAAAGCCATCAGCGCAATGTACAGAACTTTGCATTTATATATGTACCAAAAATATATATGCAATTTCTTGAATGAAGCAATTTGATGAAAAAAGAAATATTTAATATTCAAAGAGCTACCCACCAGCACTCCTATTTTGGGGAAGAAAATGTACCGATCTAAAATTCTGCCAAATATCCTTTTCAAAAATTATGTCACGTATACACAACCAAAAGTGAAAATAACTGTAATCACAGAGAGAAAAAGTAAGATTGCTGGTGGGTTTTAAGTGTGTTATTGCAGAGCAAAACTGTAGGTTGTTTTAGACTATCTTGACTTGTGTGCAGCTGTACTGTACGTTGCAAGTATTTTCCTTATAACCAATCTTTATTTAACAGTGGCTTCTGCTTTACAGCATGCACTTAGTTTTAAGTAGCAGCAATAGCTTGTGCAGAGGTATCTGGATCACTTGCAGCAGAAATCAAATTGTTCCAGTGCCCTCTATTAACAGGGTTGATCCGCTGTCTGTAAAAGGGGAGGAAAAAACAAGTAGACTCAAGTTATTGACTGTATTAATCTTTCTTTAGTCTTGGCTCGTGTTGAGGAAAATGAAGTTATTACAAGCTTGACTGTTAACTACAGAGTGAACAGCTACGAGAGAGTGAAAGCTGGATTCTCTTACATCATCTCAAGATGTGTTAGTGAACTCTAGTTGCAGCAACACAAAATGCTGCTCTCAGTTGCATCTTTGCAACCCCAGCACAGATGATAGTCAAACAACGGTCTTACAGCTCAAGAGAGGAAAAGGTAAACAAACCTTAACAAGCAACAGAGGGTCCTGTGGCACCTTTGAGACTAACTATGATAGACCTTTATTCCATCCTACAACAGAATGCCGAAGCAGAGAACTACTGCAGTGAGGTCTCATGACTACTAATACCTCCCTAAGGTGGGACAGATCCTCACCCGGCTCAGGAAGGGTTAAATAGCTCCTCTGGGCATAATCAGCCTCAACCTGGTACACCTGTGCGGCTTGTCAGGCCTGCAAAGGGGTGAGTCCTTAAAAAGGAGGACCCAAATCCAGCCTGAGGTTGGCACTGAAGTGAGTAAAGCTTGATCAGGGAGCTCCCTAACCCCACCCATCAGGTACTGTTTATCAGGAAAGCTGCTGAATTGCGTCTGCTGTCTGGTTCCCTCTAAAGAAGTAGAGGGACCACCTTTGCTTAGCTTTCCTTTTAAGAGCCCAGGGCCCTCAGACTAGGTCCTTTGGCCATACAAGGAGATAGGAGCCTAGTCCTCTCCCCACAGCCTACTGACCTTTGGCCATGTATGGAACTACAGGGTGAGCCCAGACTGTTTTGTGAGCTGCAGGACTATTTGGTTTGCTTTTTTCATTTGGACTGCATTAGACCCCCTGGAAGGGTGCATCCTTCCTAAAACAGCTAGCTGGAGGACAACACCCCGAACTCCCAACCAACTCTTCAGCAACATCCATAGCAAGGGATGGATATCTGGGGCAACAGAGGCACCAACCATCATCCTCGGGGTGCCCTAGTGGTACAACATACTAGACTAGCTTTTAATGCTTTTCAATCATAGCTCTCAAAGCACTTGACAAAGGAGGTAAGCTTCGTTATCCCTGTTTTAAAAGGGGGAAATTGAGGCACGGGATGGTGAAGTGACTTGTTTGAGGTCACCCAGCAATCCAGCAACAGGGGTGGGACTAGAACCCACCAGGGCACCTGGGACACTCTCCACAAAGGTAAACTACAACTTCCTTTCTTTCCTACAAACTATGCAACAGCACCAGAACATGATCTCTTATAAATAGACCTAAACTGCACTTACCTAAGTAAGAGAATAAGTGACCCTTGTAGGAGTGCCTACCATTCGTTAATGTATTTAGCCTCCTAATACCCCAGACAGGTAGGGAAGTGCTATAATCCCCATTGTACAGATGGGTAACTGAGGCAATGATTAATTAAGTGACTTTGCCAAAGTTTGCGGCAGAACAGGGAATTGAACCCAGTTCTCCTAAGTCCAGGCTCCGGCCTTTATCTCAAGAATATCTTCCTTCCCAGAAGGCAGGATTTGGGCCCTCACTTAATCTTCAAGAGTCAGTAATTTATACTGGGTCTCTTGTTCATTGGTGGGAATTAGTGAGGTTATACCATATACCAATGTTAATATATCACTAACTTTATGCTGCCCATAGTACATTTCTCTTACAGTAAGTATGCATCCCGCTCCAGGTTACTCAGATAACGGTGTGTTTCACACTGGTAAAGTGACCGGTATCTAGTATTCCACTTGCACTTTTCTTGTTTTGTGATGTCATAGCGACCAACACCAACTGGGTTCTGCAAAAAGAAAGTCAGACATGGTTCTGCAACGTTAAAGGTGCAGTTATACACACACCAGTGAAGTTCTGCCCGTGACTACAGTGGCAACAGGATCAGGGCCTCAGTTTGAAAACAAGAATCTGGAATATTGAACAACAATCACCACCACCACCTCTTGTATTTGAGAATGGAGGAATTAGGGCCTGATCCTTCCATTTAGGTTCAGAGTCTATGCAACAACCATCATAACCAGATCCTACAGTTCCAATTTCCCTGAAGACGTTGGGGACCATTCCCTTGAAATGTGATTTTCCCCAACAGCCTAGAACTAGCTCTAGTCAAGTTACAGCAATGTTACCACTGTAATTTAATCTGTGGAGTTCCTGCATCAATTACAAAGAAGTCTTCAGCCTTGATCTTTTTCAAATTGCCTGTGGCCTGCTCTTCTGCATAAAGGCAGGAAACTGCATGGGAGTTTGCTCCTCATCCCTAACCATAGGGACTACTTCCCATTAACGTTTTTCCTTGCTTCTTTGAATCCTTCAGGCTTTGTTCTACTTCACTAAGGGAAACTTGAGAAGATTATTACTACAGATGACATAAGAAAAGGCATTAAAGGAAGGAGCAGTTACCAGCACCATCACTTCAGCACTCTGCTGCTAAAAGAAATTCTGTTTTTTCAATAATAGAATGTGACTTTGAGTGTATATGTTGTCCTGCCCCCTAAAGGATTAAAATCTGCTGCATAACTTAGAACATTCCTGAAATACAATCTCTTGGCTGGAGAGCAGTAACCACTGTGTCTCTGAAACCTGTTTATGGACAAAGCTGTAGAGCAGCACTCTTTGGGTTAGAAGGATTTGGACCTCCAGTGGAAAGACCAGTAAAGGGTATGAGTGCGTCATGGAAGAAGCAGACAGCATGAATATTTTCATGCACCTACATCTATTCCTACCATAGATTTTCCACTCACCGTGTTTCCAATAAAGAGGCGGTATGCTTTCCTGTCAACTCTTTTTGCAGATGACCAAAATGGAGGTTGATTGAAGTATTCTGATCGCTCCACGGGTTTTGGATCATGTGAGCCTGGCCCTACAGCATACTACAACAAAGTGACAACCAGTAAATCACTGATGTACTTACGTATGTACCTAACACATGCTTAAAGTTAGGCACCTGCTTAAGTATCTTGCTGAATTGGAGCCTCAGTTAATTCTGTTGTATTCTTCTAGTAGCCACAGAACTGAGAGGCTGCTTCGTGAGAAGTATTAAGTGCAGGAAACCGTCATGGCTGTGTTGCAATGGTGGGAATAAGCACACCAGAAACATGAGAGACAAAAGGAGCAGCATGCTGGAAATGAGAGCATCGCTTGTGCTAAGCCTCCAGCCTGCTATTTGCAGTTGGAATTCAGTAGAGTGACCCACCACTCCTTTGTTAACAACTGTGGTGTAGATATCCACCTTTACTCATACGCAACATCCTGTCATCTAGGCATGGTATGGGCCTGCCCCTTCTCCTGCTCCAATTGAATTCAGAGGGAGCTTTGCAATGCAGTTTGAATCTGAAACGGGACTATGCAAAAAAACCTCCTTTGTTTCCCAGAACGGTGACAGGGAATGGCTCACTTGATGATTACCTGGTCTGCTCATTCCCTCTGAAGTGCCTGGCATTGGCCACTATCAGAAGACAGGATACTGGGCTAGATGGACCTTTGGGCTGACCCAGTATGGCCTTTCTTATGTATGTTCTTATGTTCTCCTTACTTCAACCAATTTATTCCCCATGTGAATTCAGAATCCTATTGGCTGATGTTTGTGACTGTCAAATTGTTAACTACTCTTTAATCCTCTTAGCCAGACCCAACACAGCTGAGAGACAGTGATCTGGATTCTAGTCCTTTTCATGTACCAACAAAACTGTAAGCTAAATTCCAGTGATAGATCTTTATTGTTGATGATGTATGAAGAAGAAAGAACCCGTTTGACCGTCAGGTCCCAGGGTGAGTTTGCAGTGTGAGTGGTTAGATAAACTATCTTTTCACTTATAATCTGAGCAGATTTGATCTGGAATCACAGGGCGCCTCTAACCATTGAACCCCATAATGTTATTTTTAATTCCTTTGCTGCAAGTACTTAAGCATGTGCATAACTTTAACCACATGCTTAAATCCCATGAAAAGCCTATGTTTAAAGTTAAGCATGTTGTATTGTGCTTTGCTGACTGGGTTGGGATTACTCCAAATTTATCTTAAAGCTGCTGAATCGGGGCCGTAAGTAGTTACCTGAGCAACATGAGAGCACATTGCAAGATGCTGTCAGCCGGAACCATAAAAACGCCAATTGTAATGACAAGAGCTTAATTTTCAAATAACTTGTGATCAAAATAATAGCTGCTAAGAAGCACTTCTTTCAAACTGCATGGCTGAGCAAATGGATGCCGTCATTTTAATGTAGCTCATATAGCCACAACAGGGTTGGCTACCAGTGCACATACAGGTGTGCTATGTTCTGCCAGATGCCTGCGGCCGCCCGAGGAGTTCACTTGTAGCCAAGCAACACACAGCCTGGAGAGGCTTATTGCTATCAGAGTGTGGTTATTGTTACCATGCTACCTGTTAATTTCAAATTTTACTCAAAAAATGTTAGGTTTATGCAATGAATCCTTCCACAATGAACAATAGTTGGTTGTCGGAGGAGAAGGGAATGTAAGGGGCTGAATCACCTTTCCAGAGCTCCTTTGGCTATTTTGTTATTCTTCCACTGTCTCCTAATGTACCCACACCTCCAGGTTTGCACTGTATTTGCACCCCTTTGCCCTGAGAATATCTCCTCAGAATCCATCCGGAACAAGGCCCAGCTAGCCCTAGCGCTCTCTTTCATGGGATAATGGCCACATCACGCTCACCCCACTCAGGGTAATAACTAACCTGGGAGCTATTTAACCACCCCGTTTATTTTTTAAAATGAGTGTAAAGTTTCCCGAGGTTGCAGATTGATGCTGAAGAGCAGCCAGGCTCGTGGGTGCAGACAGGGAGGCCTTTGAACGCCTCCAGGTGTTTCCCCCACAGCTGCCTCCTCAGCCCCTGGGCTCCTTTAAAATTGCCATGTTAGTTTAAGTACTCAGTTGGGAGCCTTAAAACTAGCTTCCAACTCAAAAGAGCTGAGCGGAGTCAGCATGAGAGAAGGGGGAGGAATGAAGGTTTCAGCTGCCTTTGTTAGTAATAATGGAGAAGTAGAAGGAAAAGATCATGAGGCTTCTCATTTCCTCCCTCTCCGGCCCATCCTGGGCACAGGGATTTCCCTGGTGCTTTTGGTGATGAGCTATCCGCTGGGCACTGGTGCCTGGCTGTAACCCCACCAGAGGAAAGGCCAATCAGTACACAGCTTTGGACAGCTCTGCCCCAGCCCTCCCCATGGCACATTTTGACTGCCCAGAGAATCCTCTGCAGGTGACCAGGAAAGCGAAGACAATGCCCTGGCAATGGCTCATCATCCTTCTACGTGAGAGCTCTTCAGACCAACCCAGCACAATCACCCCTTGTCCCAATCCAGACAGGCTGCTCTTCAGCTGCACATTTCACCTGGGGTTCTCCCAGTCCTAGAGGTCCAGGTGGTTTTCCCGCCTTTCCCTTTTGCCTCACAGCAGAGCCGTAACAAGGAATTTTTGCGCCCGAGGCAAGGGCCGGCTCCAGGCTCTTCGGCGGCAGGTCCCTGAGTCCCTCTTGGAGAGAAGGACCCTCCGCCGAAGAATGCAGGAAGCGGCGGCAGCAATTTGGCGGCGGGTCCTTCCCTCCGACAGGGACTCGGGGTCCCACCACCGAATTGCCGCTGAAGAAGTGACGGCGGTAGTGCTGCCGCCGAAGCGCCGCCGATCGCGGCAGAGCTGCGCCCCTCCGCTTTGCGCGCCCAAGGCAAGTGCCTCACTCGCCTCGCCCTTGTTACGGCACGGCCTCACAGTCTCTCTCAGTGCCATGGGGTGTATTCGCAGCAGATGGCATCCTGCACGGTAACATTTGCAGCAGAGACAGGAGAGGAAAGGAACACGGTGTCACTAACCGTGGCACGTGGACACTGGCTGAGTGTGGCCCAGAAGATCCGCTCCGTGGGGCAGCCGGGGTTCCGAGCGAGGGTGCTGAAAACACCTTTTTTCTTTCTGTCCTTGGTGTCCAGCTCCTCCACAAAGCTCTTGACATTGCTGGTGCCGAGCTCAATGCATTTCTTCTAAAGAAATGAAAGAGAGGACGGGACGTCTGCTGCTGCTGGAGAAAATGTGACGCAGTTGTCTGGCAAGGCCCTGCAGGTGCCAGCCACAGGGGCTCTCCTGTATCTCTGCGCTCACGGGATCCAATCCAGTCCCCAGGTGAAGCCTGGCAGGGAGATCCCACTGACTTCAGAGGAGCTGAATAAGGCCCATAGACCCTCATTCGGAGTCCATGGACTACTTGATTCCCTTGTCACTGACATGGATCACATCTACCCTCCTCCCTGCACAATCTCTGCCCCACCCTGGGCTCTCTAGGGCAGATATCTTTCCAGAGTGTAATAAATGTACGCCACTGCCTTCCGCACCCCAGCAGGTGAGAGGTATCCCCCAGGCTGCTTCCAAACAGAGGTTCTTAAAGGAATATCTCCTCAGAATCCATCCAGAATAAGGCAAAAAGACTGCGCATAGACAATCTTGTTCATTTTAGGTTGCTGGTTTGAATCCTACCCTAGGCCAGTAGGGAGAGGAAGCCGTGAGTCCTTTTCATTGTCCGTACTAAATGAAGGGCAAACAGCAAGCAAACTAAGGCTTTGTCCACGCTACCACTTTAGTCGGTAAAACTTTTGTTGGTCGGGGGTGTGAAAAAAACACACACCCCCGACCGACATGTGTTTCACTGACAAAAGTGCTGGTGTGGACAGCAGTGTGTCGGCAGGCAAGGCTCTCCTGCCAACATAGCTACCGCCGCTTGTTGGGGGTGGTTTAATTACGCCAGCAGGAGAGCTCTCTCCCACCGGCAAAGAGTGGCTGCACGGGAGACCTTACAGCGGCACAGCTGCAGCGGTACAGCTGTGCCGCTGTAAGGTCCATAGTGTAGACATGGCCTAAGTAGCAAAAAGTAAATTAGCTTTTTAGGGCCAGATCTTCATATAAATTGTAGCGTCACTGATTTCGAAGGAGTTGTGCTGCTTTACCCTTGCTGCGGATCTGACCCTCAGTTTTAGTAATCTAAGTTGTTAATAATAACGGCAAGGATGGGTTTTAAAACTATGCTCTGACAGCACCCCTCTCCTGGCAGCAATCTGTGAGAGACGTCACGTCTGCAGGACTAGCTCCTACATCATTAACCAAGGCAAGGGTGTTTTACTAAAAACACAGCTCTCTTACAAGAGTACGTACTTCCACAGCGTAATGTCCGCAGATAATAGGCTTTGACCTGTCTCCTGTGAAGGTGTCATATGGGCCGCGATTACTGACCACACGTTTCAACACCTCGTCTGTGCTGTTTTTGAGATTGTAGGTGCCTGGCCCCAAACCACTTCCCTAAAGTCAACGGGGAGCAAAAACATCCATCAGTGATCGCTCTGTTGGGGAGCAGAGTCCTAGGTTGTGCTCATTTGGAAACCGGACACTAACTACAGGTTTGTTGCTAGACAATTGCAACATTGCTGTTATATATTACAGTAGCACCCAGAGGCCCTCACTGAGACCAGGACCCTATTGTGCTTGGTGCTGTACAAATACTTAATGAGAAGCAGACGCTGCCCCAAAGAGCCATGTCCTGTGCTCTGCCCATGACTTTTCCCTCTCACCCATGCTGCTCATTCTTGAGTGGTCAAATAATAAATGAGTAGCCACCTGTTTGTTTCAATCATCCATTACAAATTGCTCTCTGTACCCTCAATTAAAAGCTTCACCAGCAGATTGCAAGGGGTGGTCCCTCTGCAAGGCAGCCTTTAAACTAAGTGGCTTGGACCATCCCCTTTGCTTAGTCTCCGTTGCTCATGGCATGGAATACTCCTAAGAGACCCAGAATGGGGACAGTGCCACCTCTATGGGATCCTGCACTTCTGAGAGTGGGAAAGTGACGAGCAGGGGAAGCAGACATTCTCTGTGGCACCATCCCCTGCTGACCCACTGGCTCTCTGGGCAGTAACCTAGACAGGAGTTCAAGCACCACTGAAACTTGAGGCTGGCTGCAAGATCTTCTGTAGATTCCCCTACTGAGCAGCTGTGGTGGGCTCCACCAATGGCAGCACAGCCCCGGAAGGGCCAATATCACCAGAGGAGCAGCCATTGATGCAGGCTGGCTCCAGCCTCTGGGGGTTCTCTCCTCTACAGATCCTGTGAGGTTGGGAAGCCTCAGCCTCTTCAGGTGAACCTCACCGACTTTTCTTTCCCTTTCGGAAGCTGCTTGCCCAGCCTCCCCTTTACTCCCCCACCCCCACCCACCACAAGGGGCACTCCAGTTTCGTGCAGCCAGGCAGTGAAAACTGCAAGCTGGCTGCATCCTCTCTAGAGAGAACCGCAAATGCTGATGCCTCCCTGAGCCTTCAGACACCCGAGGGCTCCTGATTGGCCAAGAGATGAAGACCATAGCCATGCTGCTATGGTCCACTGTAATGAACAAGACAGCAAAATAACCTGGCGGGGGGTCAGCTTCCACAGATCCCTCACTTTCGTTCTTTCTGGTCACTCAAGCCCTGGGCAATGGCTGGTATGCAGGAAAAACAAATAGCGCAGACTTGCCGCAGCAGTAGGTAAGACAGATTTTTCGGTTTTGCTGTCCATTATCCCTTGAGAGTTTGCCGAGCGTCTCTCCTTCTCCTCAATCAGGGCATAAGGGTTTCCATTCTTGCCATAAGTCCCAGGGCCAGGGTGGCAATCCTGCAGAAATAAGAGGGAGAGGATTACGAACAAAAATGGATACAACTACCAAAAAAGAGCCAGATTCTGCCATTCAAGCCTATTAAAACAGTGATTCTTTGTAATTCAGTAGTGCCCAGAGGGCTTAACTGAGATCTGGGCCCTCCGGAGCTAGGTAGTGCATACACATCTAAAGCCTCAGTCTCTGCCCTGCAGACCTTCCTATCCATTAGGCATTTCTCTGTGGAGACATGCTGCCCCAGGGAGGCACCGGGCCTCACAGGAGCCCAGGGACTGCAATTCTCAGTGGTAATACTAACAATACATCAGGCGAGCGCAAAGCACTTCTCAGTCTTTAATGTCCTCGGCACACCCCTGTGAGGCAGGGCAGGGCTGTCATCCGCATTGTACAGATGAGGAACAGAGGCACAAAGAAGCTAAGAGACTTGCCCAAGGGCTGTGGAGGAACAGGGAAGTAGAACCTGGGTCTCCCAAGTCCTAGTGCCCTGGACAATCCTTCCACCATGGCCCCCGAGTGAAGGAATACAAGGGGAAGAAGGTTCCACAGGGGTGTTCCCCGGGCACACTATGCTCTAGATGACCTAAAGAGAATCCCAGTAAGGAATACCAAAGCTCCCCCTTTAAAGCAGATCAGACAGCAATTCCCTTGCCCTACTACGTCCCCTTCATGCAAACTGGCTCCATTTGGACCTGGAGGGCAGCTGTTCCCCAAGTCTAGATTAGAGTCAAATCTCATTGCTCTCCAGGCCGTGAAGCCTGCAGCACAGAATTAAGTTCTGAGTCTTTATGATGCCTGTACAATTGCCACCCTCTTTGTGCTTTGTATTTCTGGGGTGAATATGGCCCTCTACTCCTTTCCTATTGGAATCAATGAGGGTTGTGGGTAAAAGTCTAAAAAGAGAATTGGCTCTAAATTCAGCCGCTACCCAATACTTAGAACGATTCATCCCTAGATTTCAAAGCCCTTTGCAAAGAGGATCATTGTTTTACAGATGGGGAAACTGAGGCACAGAGCAGTGACACAACTCGTCCCAGGACAAAAAGTGAATGTATGGCAGAGCCCAGAATAGAATCTCTGGGTGAAATCTTGGCCCCACTGAAGTCAATGGCAAAGCTCCCATTGATTTTAATGGAGCAGGATTTCACCCCCACATCTCTTCACTCCCAATCCACTAGCTCAGACTGCCTCCCTACAGTTTGGCAGTTCTTGCCAGGTACAGATTGCTACATTCTGTATATAAAGGATAATCAAGTACAATCTTTGCATCTCTCCAAGCAAATAAAGGGAAATCTGGCCTCTTGGAAGGCTCTTGATTAAAAAAAACCTGAAAAGATACTAAGGCGAATTAGAAATGAAATCTCTAACTATGAAATTAGGACAACAAGGAGTCTGGTGGCACCTTAAAGATTAACAGATTTATTTGGGCATAAGCTTTCGTGGGTAAAAACCCATGAAGAGTTACTCCCTTCTCTCCATGTGTCAGTATATAATGCCTGCATCTGTAACTTTCACTCTATGCATCTGAAGAAGTGAGGTTTTCACCCACGAAAGCTTATGCCCAAATAAATCTGTTAGTCTTTAAGGTGCCCCCAGACTCCTTGTTGTTTTTGTAGATACAGACTAACACGGCTACCCCCGATATATGAAATTAGGAATTCTGTAACTTCATTGGCCACCAGCACCGGAAGAGCTGTTGCAAGTACAGTAAGCTGTGATTCACACAAGCTCCCACTGCGCGTCACTCTTGATTCACACATACAAGTGTAAAATCAGCAGTCATGTGGCTCTGCAACAGATCCGAGTATTAACACAACATTCTACAGCTGTGACGATACAGTATATTTGACTGTTGTTCAGGCCCTATGGAGGAGGGATGTTCCACTGAAATAACCCAGTTTTTAATTTCTTCTGCCAGGCAATGCAGATGGCAAAAGTGGCCAGCCTGAAGGGTTAGAAAGCAGGCGATGCCAACTGGCATTCTGCCCCACAGCCTGGAGGAACTAGAAGTCGTTACTAGGGAGTTCTGGGGCTAGTAGAATATTTGCAGAGCATTATTCTGTAGAAAAGCTATTTTAAAAATATACTATCCTGTGTATACTCTGGATTCATAGACGATAGGACATATATGTAAATGTGTATGCACCATATACATACACTAACACACTGATACTGCATATCGATTCAATATTTAGGTAGTATGATGGTGGGCATTACAGAAATATCTACAATACACACTGATTGGATAGACTGCAGTGTATATACACACACAAACATATGGGCTCAGTCCCGGAACTATCCCTTACACAGAACTCCCCAGTGAAATCAGTGTAGGTCCCACGTAAACAGGGCACCTAAATAATGTGAAATAGAAAACACTGATATTGTGGTTCAGTGTTTCCCTGGATTGGTGATCTCTTATCTGCTCCCTTTGAATAACTCCCTTGTTAGTTAGGATGATTTTAGCTGGGGTATCACCAGACTGTGTGAGCAGAAGGCAGCTTTCTTTAACCCTGTTAGTGGTAACATCATCCAAATCAAGCACTCGGGAAATTGAACAGCAATCAGGAAGCATAGCTGGGCATTGGCCCTTATTATTTCTTGCACCACCTATTGTACTTTTAAATTTTGCACAGTTGTAAAAGGGACTTGTTTTGGCCCCCAAAAGTGTGTATCATATTATTAGGTGATCCAATAATAATATTTAGCTCTGCAACAAGAGGTACCAGATTATCTACCTTGTATGTTTCTTGTCAAGTTATTGCAGTATCTATTGCTTGAATCCGATACATACCCTAATGAAGGCTCTAAACCTCTCTTCTCCAGTGTCACAAACACCTCTAATACTTGAAGGTCGGGTCTCTTGCAGAAAATCTTTGATATTGTAAGTTCCTGGGCCCAGTTTTTCTTTCTTATTGAGAAAAAGATTTTAGAGGTTTAATAGCAACAAAGCCAGGATTCTAATTTACCCATGCAAATCACAGCACCTCTAGTTCAGTCTATCCCATGGCACTTTCAACTTAAGAGTTGAAAGATTAAACCACAGAAACAGTCAGATTTCTTGTCCACACATAGGGAAAAAAGTCAAATTCAGATCTCACCAGATACTTGCTTTTCTTCAAGGTCTCCTTAAAATTAAAATGGGGCATCTGGGTAAGTCGTGCCGCTTCCTGTGCCTTGCCCCAGCCAGAATTTGAAGCCTTCTCCTGCAGCACAGAGGAGCTAAAGCTTCCATGGTCAATATTGTAGGTGCCTGGGCCTAACTTTCTGCCCTAAAATGAAGTGTAAGGTTAAAACTAAACGCTTGATTTACCATTGAGTTAAGTCAGTTTTACACTGATGCATCACCATTGAAAATTGGAGTTCTGCAGTGGTGAATCAGGCCCTAAGAATTCTGATCATATTGTTTGCAAATTCTCCTTACTACAGGCAAATAGAGAGAGAAAGTCAATGGAGCTATAACAAGCTACACCAGCTGAGGATCTGCGCCCACAGATTCCTAGCACGTTGGATAAATTGCTGACACAGGAAATCTACTCAAAGGTTCTGTAAGTATACATTATACTGAGAAGTAAATTACATTGGAGAGAGCCTCATCCTATATCATGAACATCAACAGGAGTTTTGCCATTGATTTCATTGCCATTGGGCCTACATTAAATGGACTGATTAGATTAGATTCAGTGATATTATCAAATTAATTTGAAAGCAGCAGAATGGATCCATTTGGATTTTTCATGGAAATGAATTCTGGAAAAAGAATCCAAAGGTATAATTTTTAGTTTAGTTCTGCATATGGAGCTGAATAAGTGTTTGTTTTGTACATAAAATAGAGAGACAGACTCACCAACTCTGAAGAGACCTTTTTGCAGTAGGGCGCCTGTGTGTATGTACCAGGTTTCTTACACTTTGGATAAACTGCTGACACATCAAATCTAGCGGAGGATGATGTAAATATACAGTAAATTTTGAGTTAAAGCAGGACTAATTTTACAAACATAGGTCCTGGTCCTGTGAACATTTAGGACTTGATCCAATGTCTATTGTAGTCTGTAGAAAGGGTTTCACGGACGTCAATAGATGTTGTATCAGGCCCTCAGTACTGGACTACTCAATACTGCAAAGAGACACGTGCTTCATTTTGTGAGTAGTCCCATTAAATTCAGAGGGATTACTCATGCTTAAAGTGAAGCACATGCATAAATCTTTGCAGGTTTGGGGCCTAAATGCTTTCTGCAGTGAGTAATCTCCTGAATGTCAATGGGATGATTACTCACTAGAGCAGGGGTAGGCAACCTATGGTATGTGTGCCAAAGGCGGCACGCGAGCTGATTTTCAGTGGCACTCACACTGCCCGGGTCCTGGCCACCAGTCCGGGGGGCTTTGCATTTTAATTTAATTTTAAAAGAAGTTTCTTAAACATTTTTAAAACCTTATTTACTTTACATACAACAATAGTTTATTTATATATTATAGACTTATAGAAAGAGACCTACTAAAAACGTTAAAATGTATTACTGGTATGCGAAACCTTAAATTAGAGTGAATAAATGAAGACTCGGCACACCACTTCTGAAAGGCTGCCGACCCTGCTCTAGAGTAAGCACAGGGCCAAAGACTAAATGTTTTCATGATCAAGGCCCTTAAACTGATGTACTGTACAAATTACATACGGACACTGCTTTATCTACTACTGAAATGCAGCCATCTCTGGTGTGAATCATGGCAGCTGTTTAACAGCACAGAGTAATACTACAGGAATTGAAATACAGTTTCTCCAGTGGAAACTACAGAGAGATTTTAGGTAGGCAGAAGCAAATGATCCAAATTGGAATTTGGCCAAGATAATAGAGTTAAGGGCCACTGTCCATTTAAAAATCATGTTTTAAAACAAACAAACAAACAAAGATCCATCCCTAATGTTATTAAAATCTCAGGCTATTAAAAGAGAATTTTAAAAATCAAATTTACTGTTTACTGTGGATGCTTTTAATTTTTCCTTTTCTCTCAACTTAGACAATGAAAACAGACTGGCCATTTCCACATTTTTATTTGCTTCTACTCAATTTCCCTAAAAGGGTCAGGCACCAGTTGAATGGTGTGATGTTTGGGTTGCAAACACTATAAGGAAATGTTAATATTTTTTAAAATTCCATTGGATTTAACCTAAGTTTGGGGTCAAATTTGACTGGTTCAATGTCTTTTAACAATCATTCTCTGTGAGATCTTTAATGACAACAAATTATTAGAACCTTGGCTTTCTGTTTCATCTGGAAGATGCCACCTCCAAGTGCCCCATCCTGTAGCCAAAACTCTTGAAGAAGTCAAAGGGAACTTGGACTCAAACCCTGGTAACACAGCTATTCCCAGTAGAATTTCTGACACAAACTATATCAATAAAAATTCAGACCACATTCTTCGCTGATGTAAACTGGTGTAGCTCTGTTTTACAACAGCTGAGAAATCTGATCCTTCACGTGCCAAATTCCTCGGCATTTAAATAGATATTTCTATATTGTACAAATTAAACCAATTAAAATAAATTAAACTTTGCAGGTGAAAAGCAGTATATGAGGCCTTGAGCCTGCAAACTGTAATGCGATAATGCCTAGCTGTGAAAAGTCAAAGGACTTCAAAGGGATTGCTCAGGTGAATCAAGTTACTCACCTGTGTAGATGTTTGCAGGATCAGGGTCTTAGTGCCGGGTATTACATTGAAAATCCCCAAGCAGGAATTAGGCATACAGATTCATAGATTTCAAGGTCACAGGGGACTATCATGAGCTACCAATGTTTCTGTATTTTATTAGCCGATTGAAAACTTGCTGCTGTGTGAGCTAAATAAACAAAATCTCTCTCTCCTGCTGTTCAGGTGAACTAAGTAAAGGCACTGCAAGGCCAACAGAGTTCCAAGAGGGCAAAGTGTGATTTAAGGGGTAGGTGTTTGTTCTGAATAAATAACACAGGTCATTTTAAATAAGGTGGAGAAGCAGGGAGAAACCCCAATCAATGTATTTTAGGTTAATGAGCTGGTTAAAAATGGACCCAGTTAAAATATATTATGGCAGAGCTTGTCAAAAAGTTTGTGTCTCAGTCCCTCACATGGCTTTGAAAATCTCAGCCAGTATGTGTATCATTGTGTTGTTAAAAACGTGATTCAAAATCCTTAAATATACACTACGTTACTGGAGACATGTGATTGTACTGATTTAAAAAATACACAGCGAAATCAAAATCACTGAACACAGGGCCACACTGTGCTGCAGTCTGATGCCGCCATGCTGGGCTATAAGGGGGAGCATAATCCCCCAAACCCACCCTGTGCAGCCTCCCTGGAGCGTTAGTCTCGGTGCAGAGAAAGAGAGCAGAGTTTTTGCAAGACCACTGGATCCCACCCACGCAGGTGGAAGTGGGCAGACACGGGTGGGAAGTGGGCAATGCCTTCACTCCACTCCCCTGGGTACCAGCTAGCACACCTGAGCCAGCATGTGGGGGAAGTGATCTGCGCGGGATAAGGGGCTGTTACAGATTGCTTCCCTGCAGGAGCAAGTGGGGAGCGGGAAGGAAATGTGGCTTCTTGGGGCTCCTCCTGGGGTAGCATGGCTGAGCTCAGCACCACCCCTGACATGTGCCTGTGCCTAACGGCTCAAGCTTAGCCTCTGGGAAGCAGAGATCGGAGCGTGTACTTTAAAAAATATTGTCAGTCATACGTAGGGTGACCAGATATCCTGATTTTATAGGGACAGTCCCGATATTTGGGTCTTTTTCTTATATAGGCTCCTATTACCCCCCACCCCCATCCCGATTTTTCACACTTGTTGTCTGGTCACCCTAGTCATACGCCAGATCATGTAAAACATTAGGTTTGGCATGTAGTATTTTGAAATGAAATTCACTTTCACCTAGAATGGGGGAAGTCATAAAGATAGCCAGGGTCAGCCAAAAATCCAGCCCCCCTCCCCCCCCCAAACCTGCTGGCTTATTTCTGAAGGAAAGGACTTCTCAGAGAAAGGGGTCCTGGCTCGTTGGATCCATTCAGTCAGGTTACAGTAACCCACTACTGTATAGGCAAAATATCCTGCAGGAGCTTGTAAGGTATAGGCAGGAACGTGTGTGTGTGTGTGTGTGTGTGTGTGTGTGTGTGTGTGTGTGTGTGTGTGTGTG